TAATCTGCATTATGTAAATGTCTAAAAGATTCAAAAATATATATATATATATATATATATATATAAAATATAAAAAAAAACATAAAATAGAATAAAAATTTATTGTTTACAAGCTTTTGCTCATTCTTAATAATGTATCATCATATAGAATAAGTGTTTGGATCTTAAGCATATTGATAAGGCATTTTTCTCTTCCAATACAATATCAGAAGTGCAACCAATGGATGCTAGCATATGTATTATTTTCATTTACAAAATAAAATTTATAGAGAAGCAAATATTTACAAGGCTATTTAATTGGCATTAATGGATTAGGTAAAATTTTCTTAAGTTATTATGCTTGTATCAAAAATTGCTCAGTGCTTTTAATACACTTAGTTATTCACAAGCTACTTCTATAAAATTTAATGTAACAAAGATGAAGATATAATCAACTATAATATTTAAACAATATTTATAGACTATATGTTTAAAATCCAATATCAAAAGAAGCCCTTTTTAACCTTATTATAAATAAAATTAATAGAATGTGAGTGATTGTTTAATAGTAAATTACTAAGAAGTACTACTAGAAAGAAGGTTGAAGATGAAGCTGAAGAACTAGAAGTTGAGCTTAAGCAAGATATGTCAAAAAGAAATTAAAAGAAATTAAAAAATTAAAAAATTACCATCTACATTATAATCAAGTTCCTTGACATAACAAAGCCAATTTATTTTTAAGCACACATAATACTAAAAGGCCTCCATTACAAGCTACGTGCCTTTGATTTTTTATAGATGATGTTAGATGCTTAGCTATAATAAAATTCTTTAGCTAAATACATTATTAATAAGCAATCTTGGATAATATAGATAGCATCTAGCCTAAGTAGGATGAAAAATATTTGCCATTGCTTGTCAATTTACATCTTCATCTTAATAGGCATGTTACATAATGCAGTCTTATAATTAGTTTATTTTCCAAGAGCAATTGAGTTGTGTTGTCTACTTAAACTATCAAGTAGTTAAAAGGTATTGATACATATGTGGTTTGGCTATGGATAGGAATAAGTATCTATCAAGGAGTATACATTATTACATGCTAAAATTCAAATCTTGTGAAAATAAAGTCAATTTTCATGAATTTCACAAACAAGGTTTAATTCTTTTTTCTTTTAAATTGTTCAATTTTTTCATAATTGGAATTGATTGATATCATCCATTAATAATTTGTAATCAACCCTCTAGTAATCACTATTAGCAACTAGTTTATTATATATTTTAATTGTAACATCTATCTTTAAAAGAACATCTCTAGTAGGTTTAAAAAAGAGATCTGAACTTAAAATAGTGAAGATGCCATATTTAAACTATATATAGTCTTAATATACAATGTATTAAAAATCTTCTAATTAAAACCACACATATATGATTCTTAGTTATATATTGATAAATATTTGGTTACTATGAACTTCTAAAACATATAAAAATACCAAATGTCATTTAGAAGTTACATTTGTATTGTCTTGGATTTGATATAGATATAGCAGAAGTTATAAATATAAAAATAAAATAGAATAATATATGTTAATTGGAATTAGTTAAATTTATTTTTAAAATCATGGAAATATAACTAATTTTTTCAATAATAATAAAAATTTAGTATGAATATTTATTAATTTAGTTTAATTTTATATATTATATTTAATAGGCTTATAAATAACTTATGAGGAATCTAGATTTATGCATATAGGATAGTGAGGAATTTATATAAATACATAAATTATGGTATTAAATAAAAAATATTAAAAATATAAATATTACTAATCTAAATAGAAATAAATAAAATTATTACTATAAAATATTACTTAAAGATTTTTTAATACTTATAATAATAATATACTAATATTAAATAAATTAAAAAAATTATTCTTCTATTTAATTTATATTTAGATTAGTAATATTTATATTTATATTAGTAATAGAAGAAATTAAATAATTTATAAAAAGAAAAGATTTTGACTTGAAAAGTGATTTAGTCATTACATATATATTATTGCATTGTTAGGTATAATTATTTTTATCCCTTTATTTTTATTTTTTAAATGATAATATTTAAAATAAATATTTTTCTTTTATAAAATCGTATATTATTATTATTTAAAGCCATACATAACTAATTATCACAGTATGTTATATTTAAAAACGATATACTTTCTCTAAATTCTTCTAAAAGAATTCGTAGCTATATCAATTATTTTAGAGTTGTAGCTATAGCTATATATTTATCTTTCATACTTATTTGTAAAGTTATTTCTTATTTCTTAAAATGTCAATTTAAAATTAACAAATTAAGAAAAAACAGAATTTTAGTTTTTATTTTTTTACTAAAGTTTTCTTCTACAATCTGCAACTTAGCATCTAAAGAAACAAAGAAAAATATCACAAAGGTTATAGAACTTAAGAAGTATAAATAAATAAAAATTATCCTTTAAAATGTTTTGAAGAATCACTTTTAAATCAACTTTTACAAATAACTAGGCTTTGCTATAAAATAAGTCACATGATTAACAAAGAAAAGAAAAATTATACCTTGTACATACCACAAAATATATTAGGCTTCCAAGAATATTTAATTAGAAATAGAAGCTATTAATTTGATATATATCCTCTTCCTATGAGGTTGGCAGAATGTAAATAGTATATACCAGTCTCAAGAAGATTAGAAGTTGAATTTCAACAATTTGTAGAAACAAAGAATAAATTAATTAATTAATTAAAAATACTCTGTTTTATAAAAATATCGAATTTTCCAAAAAAAAACCACAATGGATTTTTAAACCAGTAATATATTCAGTTTTATTATTATATATCAAATCAAACTAAAAACAGGAGAATTGTTTAATGGAAATAAGGTGAGATGTATTATGAAAAATCAGAAAAAAATTATGTATATAAAGACCAAGATATATGATATTTACAGTATAATTTATAAAATATAAATACACATTTAAAATCCACTTAGAGAAACCATTAGAATCCAAATAATTAAAGAAATTATACCGAATTCAATAGGTTTGATTTAAAATCTTGAGATTGAGAAATATAGATTTTTTTTTCTTTTATTTTTGATTTTTTGATTTAGTAGTAATATCTGTTCAATAGATGCAAAAAAAAAAAAAAAAAAAAAAAAAAAATTATAGATAAAGCTAGAAAAATTTGAAAACAATATATTTTAATTACTAAATATAGGATTTTTTTGGTAACCAAGGTTTTTTTATTGAAAAAATATGCAAGCCAAAAATGAGGCCTTATATCAATCTAAAGAACCATTACAAATTTTATTTTAACGATATAAAATTATTTTGAACTCAACATAAAACAATTAGAAAGGTAGAGAATAAATTATAAAATATCTTTAATCTAAATATATTTTTCTACTATAATGTATTAATAAAGATTATATTTACTATCAAGAGCTCTTTACATTGTAATAATATTTGTTGAGATAAGAAAGCAAGTACTAATAAAAGAAGTAATAGTATGTAATAAGATGTCTTTTAATTTATCATTACTTAACTAATTAAAATTATAGATAGGTAAACTAACTATACTAGTACAAATGATGATATTTGTCAAAGAAAAAAGTAAATTGAGAAGGTAAAAGATATATCAAAAGAAACATACCAAAATCTACAATAAAAGATGATCCAATGAAAATAAACTTGTAAATGAGGTCTCATTAGAAATGTGATTATGGTAAGAAATCATTTTTTATAAAAATTATCATAAAAAATGATATTACTAAGGATTTAAATGATAATAATTGACCTTAATATTCTATTGTTGGAAGAATGAGAGAAATTGGCAAAGTATTGTTGTAGTTATCAAAAAACTATTAAAAAGAGATAAATATACAAAAAAGAAAATTATGTAGTATAGAAGAAATAAATAAATTTAAATCTAACAAAGAAGAAGAAGAAAATATATCAAGTAGTGGATCTTAATAAATATATATACAAAAACTTATATACATATTTTGGTATTGAGATTAAATAGGAAATATTATTTGATATCAAATATATGCAACTAATAAAAAAAATAAATCAAAATAAATATCATAAAAATGCAAGATATCCAAATGAAGATAGATTATAAATATAAGGCTTAATATTGGTCCATTATTCAAAAAATATTATAAAAAGAAGTACCTATTGAAGGTGACTAACTTATCAAGCTTTTAGTAAAAGAAGTAATAGATAAAAATAAATAAATATAAAAATAAATATAAAAGAAAATATAGGTTAAAAACTTGCAAAATATATGTAGGAGAATGTTAAATAGACCCAGGTTTTTACTAAATTGACCTATCTATGATGAAGAATATGGTAATCACTATGAATGTGGTTGGTTTTCATTGGTTTTGGACCCAATAGTGGAAAAATGATAATAGATGTCATTTTTTTTTCATGATGGTTAAGATGGGTGGATCAATTTTGTAAAAGCCTTGGTTTATTTGACATTCCCCTATCTATGTATGAATATATATATATATATATATATATATATCAATAAAGTTGCAAAAACACACAATGAAAATAAAATAGAGAGCATAAGAAGAAAAGCATAAAAAAATAAAAGCTGCATAATTTTGCTAATGGGTCATAAGATGAACAAGGATTCCACATTGAGAGACGGTGGTCACTTCCCTGAAATTAGAACAGGGTTTTTCTGCTTGTAATTACACACATCTGTTCTCTGTTTCGGCCCTGTTACTGACGCCATCATCAGAATTTGACCATTAAAATTTTAGGATTCCTGGAGCAAGTGGAATGAATAAAAAAATATTACTGTGATTTCTGAAAGGTCCCCTACCTCGATTCGAGGATGTTCTAAACGAATTTAGTAAACATACATCAATGCGTGATATTGAGCCTTAGACCGCAACCGCGTAAAGATCCTCTTCAACACGAGAAGAGGATTTTATAACTTAGGTGAGTGCTGTGTTTAAAACCAATGGCTTATGAGTATCGCACAAAGTGGACCGACATTGATTGTGAAGCACTGAACATAATAGTGATACATTGAAAAAATTCCTAAGTAAATCAATTCTTCAGAACACTAACCATTTGTTCTCGCAACATGTAATTTACATGTGAAACATCCTGAAATAAGTGATGTGTTTCACAATGGTCGGCACAGTACTCTACACTACCAATGTAAGTTTAAGCTGTGGTATAAAACTAAGTTATAAATAGTAGAAAGTGAGGACGCTAAGTGCGAGGAGCAAAACTTGTCGTTTGCACCATAAAACTCCGTTCAAATTCTTCGAGTTTCTGGTCATAACATTCAGAAGACATGTCTTCATGCACACCTACGTCATGTTCCAGAGCCCGGTTTGAGGAGACAAGTGATGGGTTCTGTTCTGAAAGGTCTAGTTCCTCAGCAAGTAATCGTAAGACATCGTCACAACGCGCATGAATCACCTGCACTTCCAGGATTATCTTGTGTAAATGTCCTATCCCCTTGTTTGCAGAAAAATCATCAAAGGCGCTCAAAAGTTTTACGTACAAACTGGTAGAAAGGAAAAGACTTGTTGGCACTGAACGGCAGAACCATAGGAACTCATGCCAAAGGATGCCAAAGGAGTAGTGCTTTGAGAGTAGCACTGGTCATTCTTTTCTGTAGAGTGTACCCCATCATAGCAAGATTGTTGATCACTGATTGATATAATATAAAACCACGGTTGGAACTTTTAGTTTAATTTCATGCTCACAAAACGGGAAAGAGCACAGTTTTTAAGATTGTAGATTCCGATTAAAACTTCACCCCGCTTGTGAGCAAGAGAAGTGTCATGCTCTTATCAGTTCACAAGGAAAGAGTAGAGGTTGTCACATACCAGAGAAGCTCGTCCATCAAACGGCGTATGCTGTAAATTAACAATAACAAGTTTTCCGCCGTTCTTGCCCACTTGTGCAGGCATGTCACAAGCAGGTCCTACTTTCAAACTGGACCCCAGAACAAGCGCAAGATCAGCCTTGTATGTATGGTCCCAAGCTGAGTTCACTTCCTGAAATGCATATCACAATTACAGTTACAATGATAGCCGGGCATGAAAGTTTGTTGCATAAAAGATACATAAAGAACGAAACAAACTTCTGATTTGACGTAAGCCCAGAGGAAACAGGCTTGAAGTATACTTTCGCCGGCAAGCTTTCTCCAAAGAGAACCACCGAGCTCTCTAGCTCTCCTGCGCAGCCGTCGGCTTCACATAAACGCCCGGTTCTATGATCGATATTGCGCACTTGCCTCTTGTTGGACCTCTGTGGCTTATCATCACCCTGTGTCGAGCCTTGCCTCAAGTCCTTACGAGCTGTTGAAGGATTTTTGGTGGGAGTTGTCAACCCTTTCCACACTGCATGTGATCTAAAGTAACGGGCATCACAAAGTGGACAGGTTTCCAAAGAGTAATTCCCATGAAGCTCACTTTGCTTTTCTGATGGTACACCACTTCGGAGATGCAAACTGTCAATATTTTGTGTAACAATATAATGGAAGTGGCCTCTCTCTATGAAACTTCTCAAAACATAGTGGGTCAACGTTGGATTTAGCTGCACAGAGTAAGTGAAAATGAAGGTGTCAGACTCAATTGATGCTACGGAAAATATAAAACAAAGATGCCGCTTGGGATTTTCGTTTCTTTGCGAGAGCACAATTATAGTTGAAGGATATCCGGCTCTCACACCACAAATCTGCAATCACTTTGAGAACAGGTCACACCTTGGTGAAGTCTGGTTCGGCAACTACTTTACCCTTGGCTTGAAGGGTCCAGACACCGGATGGGCCACGAAAATCCGGAATACCTGCTGCTGTAGAAATGCCTGCTCCTGTGTACACCTGCAATGGGCCGTTTAGCACTACTGACACAAACCCTAATATCAAAAGTCAATCAGTGTGCCCCGAGGACAAGACGTAATTGTCCATACGAGAACATACTGAGAAATGGCTGCTTCGGATACAATCAACATTGGTCTCTCCTCAATTCCAACTCATGCCGCATCTTTACGTGATCACCTCCGGAGAGAGACCACAACTTGATAACAAGAATTTTTACATAATCATAAAAATTCAGAAAAATTCGAAGCATCAAGTACTTATCAGAATACAACAAACTAACCCTAAAATGATGCGTTTACTCACTCACTAATCCCTCCTCCTCTCGCTGCAATTATATCCAAAACACAGAATGTACTACATTAAACAATAATTCAATAAATCAACAAATTAAAAGAAAATCACATTCATGATCCAGATGATGATGTTCAATTCACAAGGAGACAATGAGAGAACACCCAAAAAGCATACCACGGCATACTTGGACTCTCGCACGAGCTGAGCAAGGTGCTTCACTTTGGCTCGCAGCACAGGACCTTCCTCTTCGTCCTCCATCTCTCTACCCACGCCTCGCCTATTGCTCCTTCTCCTCGCCCCATTCTCGGTCTGGCTCATCCCACCTGCTCGGTCCAATCACCTTGCGCTTCTCTACCCCTCTCTGTCAATGCTACCCAACACTTCGCCAACCTCCCGCAAGGAATTTCCGCACCTTGACATCCACATTCCTGAGCTCCTCCTGCAGCCTCCAATCCATCCAGAGCCAAACCCACTCTGCCCTGCCGTGCCACAAGCGCCCAATGCAAGACGTAATCGAAGCACACGGCGGAATCAAAGAGGAACCCACATGCTGAATCGATAAGCTGAAGTCGAAATAATCAAATGCAGCCCTGGACAACGCTAGAACTGGGTGGATTCAGTCAAAGGGAGACGCTGCGGCGTTGAAGTTCACGCTGAAAACACGCCAATACCTCGCACTTTTCGTGCAGAATTTCCATTACCTTTTCATGGATGCCTTCATGTCGCCGCAGCTCATCCTTGAACAATAAAACCTTGTGGCCGTCGAAAAGGACTCTTGTGCTTTTTTGCAATCCATGAGTCCTCATTTGTGATCGTGTTGTTTGAATCCATTGTTTCCACATTGGAACACCAATGCTTTGATTTGTAGTGTCTCTTTTCAACGTTTGTGGCTTGGTGGTGTTTGAACTAGAGGTTATTCTTATCACTCTAAACCAAGGATTTTTGTAGATGTGATGTGTTGATGGGGTAGAGTATGACAATATGTAATGATGTGGTGATTGGCAAGTATAAATGCGTTCAAAACAATTGCAAAAGGTAGTTAGATTTTGGGGCTTTTGCATGTTGGAAGTTGAGGTGGAGAGAATTTTATGCCTACAATACCAACCTGTGAAAAAATTTCAAAATATGAAAAATTAAAAGTAAGAAACTTTGATGACAAAAATAAAATTGATGGATAATTCAATTATTAAGAATTCATCAGAAATGAAGTTTCAGAAGTGTGATCTTAACCCGTAACAATTTTACATTACTAAAACAAAGGGGATTTTTTTTTTTTTTTTTTTTTTTTTTTTGTTTAACAAATAAAATTAATAGGTATTTGTCTTACTAGTAATAGATTCGCCTTAACTTTGAAATAGCTATTCTTTACATCTGGAATTTTTTTATAAGCACTCAAATTTATAAAAATTTCAAACTATGTGACTTACATCCATGACATAAAAAACAGATTTAAGCATATAAAATAACCTATCCTACAATGAAAGTTTTTTCAATATTTTCATTCAATATACAAAAAATTTGATAACTATTATAGTATCATTATTAAAACCTTATACTTATCAATTAATATTTCATATAAAATATATGAAAGTTAACAAAGATTGATAAAAATTTCAAAAATTATGTTGTAAGTATAAATATAAATACATTCATATAAAATAGAATCAAAAACACTTAACAAAAATTAAAAAATTAATAAATCAGCTTTTATATATTATCATTAAACATCTATGAATTTCATTTTAATTGCTTTAAAAAAATTAATATAATGTTACTGAAAACTAATACATTTTATTTTAAAATAAAAGGTAATTTTTATAACATATTTCAGTAATATGAACTAATGTTTTTGTAAAAGTTATAACAATCATTAAAATTAAAAATTAAAATTAAACTAGCTCTTAAAAATTAAATACCAAATTTATTTTAAAAAATTTTAATTTTCTGCTACATTTTATACTTTAGTAAAAAAAAATACAAAAAAATTCCTGTCAACTTTATTATTAAAATTATTTTTAGATTATTTCTAATTTATTATTTTATTTCTGACATAGAAATATAATTTTCAAAGTTTTATCTTATTAAATGACATCTATCATAATTTTAAGAATTTTACAATTTTTTTATATATCAAACACATAGAATTATCAAAAAAATTATATAATACAAAATTGTGATGGACAATATATTAGACATAATAAGCATGCATAAGTTTTACCAATTTTGCTAACAATAGTGATGTGGTTTAGGTAGATATTTATAAATTTGTAATTTGTTTATACTATTATATTTTTATAATGTATATATATATATATCAAATATAAATAAATAATATAAATAATTATTAAATAATTTATTTTATAAATTTAAAAAAAAAATATACAAAAACTATTCTAAAGAATGTTTTGAATATTTTGTTGTTGGAACTCACTTACAAGGTTATAATTTAATTCATCTTATAGTTTTGCACTATTAATTTCATGAAATTCATATACCATTTATTCTAGATTAAAAATTATACTTATAAAAGCCTTTAACAATTTTTAACTTTATCAAAAAAAAATGTTAAAAAATAAAGTAGTAGAGCATAATTTAAAGAGACATAATTTATATTTTAAATGGGCATGTAAGATTTTATTAAAAGATTAGTACATTATTTGTATTTTTATTTATATTTATTTGTAAAATAGATTAATTAACGATCTAAGATAACATTTTTAAAATTAAAAAAAAATTATACATATATTGTACAATTTATATTTTAAAAATGATAATATAATATTATTTTCTTTAAAGACACTAAGACAACAAGTATAATCTTATAGTCATGTGTTGGACTTAAAACATTAAATATACATATATATATATATATATATATATATATATATATATATATATATATATATATATATATATAAAGAGCTAAATTTAAAATATCTAATAAATTATTTTTTAAAGATTTTTATTAGAAAATATTATTAATCATATAAGATAATAGTGACTAAAAATATTAAAATATTATGACTCTTTAATAAAAATTGGACCTATATCAATACATAAGTATTTTTTATTTTTAATTAAAATATTTTAAAATTTTAGATTTTTATGCAACTAATAATTTTTATTATTATTTTAAGTTATATTAAATAAGATAATATTTTAAAATATATCAATATATTCTAAAATAAGATAAAATAATTTCTAATATAAAGTAATTTTATATTTAAATATTAAGTTTTTTATTTTTTATTTTTTCTTTGTTATTTTTTCACTTCTATAAATTAATAAAAAAATATTCAAAAAAACATACAATGCTACAACTAATTTTTTAATCTTGTTATTAATAACTTTAATAGCTTTGTATCACAAATATACATAATTACATTCAAAAGAAGTATTATGTAGAAACTCAATTTAAGAAGATTTTTTAATATCTTGTATAAAAGATTCTTAGAATCTTTATAACCATGGATTTGACTTCATATATATTTTTAGGTGATTGATAGGTTGAAAACTTGACCAATAAGTTAGCCACATATTGCACATGTTAATGAATTTTAATACAAGTTGGTCATGTAGCAAACATATAAGAAACTTGTCTTATAAGTAAGAGACATATTAGAAGTCCTATAAAATGTTGCCATGTAATTGCTACTTAGATAGTATATATGGAAGTAAAAGTAAAACCTTCTTCATCTTTATCAATGCCTTTATTGTGTTTAGTCTTGTTTTAAGAGTCTTTAACTTTTTTGTCTATAGCCATAGCTATTCTAGTATCAAGGACATGAATCTTGAAGAATTAAAAGATCAAGACATTCTTGTGGTATTCGAAAAGACTAGATAATTATTCAAAGATGATATGATATTAAACTAAAATGGCTATTGTTAAAGAGAAGAAAACTAAAAAATCTTAAAAATAAGACTAAAGACTAGAAAGGCATTGATAAGAATGAAGAAGATTTTATTCTTGCCTCCATATATACTCTCTGATTAGTTGCTACGTGGCAATATTCTATAGGACCTTCAACATTTGTTGACTTTGTTAGATACATGTTTTAACTTGCAAGGCAAGTTATCTATATGTATGCCACATAATTGGCTTGTTCCACAAGCTATCAACATGTAAGACACATGGTTAATTTATTGACCAAGTTTCTAACCTATCAATCAATTAAAAACATGTATAAAGTCAAAATTATATCTTTGAAGCTTTTAGGGAGCTTCTCTAAAAGATATAATAAAATTAATCTATTTTACTTACTTCTATGTAATTATATGGATAAATATTAGAATAAATATGTGTGTTTGTGAAATCTCAATAAATACTATAATATTGTTGAATGATTATCTATTCCTAACTACTGACATAAGCGTGTATTAATCCTTTAATTCTTTGTGTTTCATATCCTTAGCTTTTAAATAAGACTATTATTTCACTATTCTAATATTATTTTAAAAGTGAGTGAATTATGCTACTTTTTTATTATGTTTTAAAGAGATAGAAAAAAAAAAACCATAGATGTTACACTTGATAAAAGTAAGAATAGATTTACAAGTATTATAGAACTTTACAAGCTTGTCAATGTTTATAGATTCAAAATCTCACATATTTCTAATATCAACCATAGAAGTATTATTCCTATGCTTATAAAATAAATCAATAATGAATTTTAATATCTATATCAAAAAAAAATTGTAATTGAGAAGAGCAAGTAGGTCAACCTCACAATTGAATTTAAGAAATCTTGCTACTACAAGTATGAAGGATGTAAGAATCAATATCCTCTAAATTTTAATTTCAAACAAGTTCAAAATTTTGAAGGTTTCTATAACAAGTCAAGACCTATTTAAAGTTGCATCTTTTCAATACCTTGATGGATTTATTTAAGTTAGATTCATAAGCACACTTTTATTTTAATATATTTTCTTTTAGTTTGTACCTTTGATTAGAAAAGATTCATAACTCTTTTATGATTTAAATTTATCCTTAGAGATATTCATCATTATTGTGTAGTAACATGAATATATAATAAAAAATAAAAGTATAGATATTACTATAGAAGTGCCTAATAAAAAGATGCAGTAAAAAAATAAAGATAAATGATAGAAAGATAATAAAAGATTTAGTTTTAAATCTACATTTTATAGAAGGAAGTTCTATCTACTTTGTAAAAGTATAAATAAGCCAAATCAAAGTAAATATTATAAGAAATTAATATAAACATATTTGAGATAGAATTAAAAATAGATTAAAGTAGAATTTACCTCAAATTATTAAAAATTGATATTAAAAAAAGACCACTTGTCAATTAGAGTCAAAATCAAATTTTAGGCATAAAATTGTGCCTATATGGAAATTCTAGGATTTTTTATAAATTAGTAGGTAGGATTTGAGAGCAAACTTGACAAGAGATTTTTAGACATTAGTTTCATATCATTTGAATCAATACTGAGATTTTAAGGAATTTTGAAAATTAATAATGTTCTTGGTAAAATATGGATTTAAAAAATAAAAATATATTTACAAAATTAAAAGTTTCTTGACTCTTGTAATATATATACAAGTCAAATTTTAGCAGTGTATTGGAGTCATAGTTATTAATATGTATAATTTTTTTGAAGTCAATCAAATGGTTAGATGTAAGTTTCTGACGGTTTTTGTAGGTTGAAGTCTCAAAAATTGAAGTTTAAGGATTAGTGAGTATTTCTAAGATCTTTAGCAATCT